TTAAAATTTCCGATTTTCGCATTTCCATCTCCTCGGGTCATAATAATCGTATTTGAATCGAGTTTGTAAAGTGTAGTTCCATGTAAACAGAAAAAACGAGGACTACAACAAACATGGGTGTTTCTATTTTTCTGAATCTGTATACTCAGCATTCTGAGTTTCTCTATTTTGCTTCCTGGAAAATTGTATGAAGTTGGAATCTGACTTAGACAGGTTGTTAGCGTAGAATTGAATTGAATTTTTTAAATAAAAGTTTTAACAAATTTGCAGTTGCAATTTCACGATTAAAACGTCATGTAAAAGTGGCTAAAGTACCAACGCAAGACACTTAAATTTCAGAGCCAACTCTAATTATGATTCTTCTCATTTGTTGGAAATACATTTAACATATTTTGTGAGCGTACTAGTTGTTTGAATGTTATGTAAAAGCACCCTAACCATATGTCAAGTGTCAAGTGGTTACTTGTGAATAGACGTGTTGTACATGAGCTCCTACATTATCGACAAATTTCGATGAAAATTGGGCAAATCTAAAATTGAAACCTATACCAAATTGTGAATAGTGTATACTAGTGCAAGTAGTTTATATAATTTTCTGCTAATCATGGTCTTAACTTGAGAAATAAGAGAAGGCATAGAACATTCCGTAAATCAAGCTGTAAGTAAAAGTCTACAAAATGTTGATCTCATAAAAACAATTACTGATAACGTCACGAAGGTTGTTGTAAAAACTATTGAAACTCGATTCATAAATATAGAAAAGTCAGTGGCGTCCATCCAAAGCGAAATTAGGGATAACCAAGCTGAAAATGAATATAAGTTTAAAAAACTAGAAGACTTAATGGAAGAAATGAAAATAAAATCAGAAGAAACACATAACACTAGAACGTCTTGACCAAGCATCTCGTTTAACAAATTTAAGAATATTTAATTTAAAAGAAAAAGATGATGAAGATACTAGGACAGAAATTATTAAACTTTTTAATACCAAATTTGATGTAAACTTAAAATCAGAAGATATTTCAGTATGTTATAGAGTTGGAACTAAAACTGATCAAAAACACAGGGGAATTTTTTTAAAATTACGCTCCTTAGAAATGAAGCAAAGTATTTATTCCAAAAAGAAGTTACTAAAAGGAACCGGTGTGGTTATTAAAGAAGACCTAACAAACAGTTAAGTGATCTTTTTTAATGAAGCCTCAACTAAAGTGGGTCTCAAAAATGTTTGGACTGAAAACGGGAAAATTTATATTTACTACAATAAGAAAGTGCAAATTATCAAAAATAAAACAAATCTTCAAGAAATAATAAATAAAATATAAATATAAATAATATCATTCTTATGTACTTACCTAGTTTTTTTTAATTTTGTTTCACCACATAAATTGGTGTTTTTTTTTTTCTTTATCTTTAATAATAATTATATAAAAGCCTAAATTATATTATTTTATATTATTATGTGTATTGTAGGAGTTCTTTAGGAATACTATTGATATAATGCTTGAGTTTTTTGATATTTTAGATAATTATAATGAAATAACAACAAAAGAAATGGAAAATTTTCAGGATTACATAAAGGAACTAGAGAAAGACAGGTCGGAAAGTGGGATTGGGGTCATTCATTTTAATATTCGAAGTCTGAGGAAACATTTCGATGAACTTTTGATATATTTAGAAACAGGTACGGATATATTGGACATTATAGTTTTATCTGAAACATGGCAAGCAGATGTAAGTAATTTTCATATTCCAAATTATACGCCTTATTGCAATAATACATCTATAAATAAAAGTGATGGCACAATAGTGTACATAAAAAATAATATAACCACATCTGTAAAAATAATGGGAGTAAATTTCACTAAATTTTTACGTATAGCCTTTAATAAAAAACATCTAAACGAGTACATAGATGTAGGGGTTACAGCTTATTATAGGTCTCCTTCAACAAGTATTCAAAAATTCATAGATGATTTAGAACATTACTTTGAAAACCTTCAAAAACAAAGTCTAGAAATCTACTTAGGAGATTTCAATATTATTATTCTAGAACCTGAAGTAAATGAAACAACTAGATATTTAAATTTATTACATTTTTACGGATTTATTTCATATATAAATAAAGCAACTCGTGTCACTCGAACTACTAACACATGTATTGATCACATATTTCTAAGAATAAGCAAACAAATTAGTAATCAAATTGAAACGGAACCTATAGTTTTTCATACTGCTTTTACTGATCATTATACACCCTTTGTCCATATATATTTAAACAAAAAACTCGACATATCTGCTATTGAAAATAAAAAAACATACAAAAAAAATTAATGTCATTAAACTCAAAAAGCTAGTAGAAAAAGAAAATTGGGAAGATGTAATTATGGCAAGAGATACCCAAATTTCATATGACAAATTTATCAGTAAACTGAATCTTTATATAGACGAAACCACTGAAACATTCACTGTAAACAAAAAAAATAGGAAACTTAAACCATGGATAACTTCAGCCTTAATTACTTCTATCTATAAGAGGGATCAATTAAAAAAGAGATTGTTAAAAAACTTTTCTATGGAACGGGAAACCAAATATAAAGAATATAGAAATAAATTAAATACATTAATAAAAAAAACTAAAAATGATTACTATCAAACTAAATTAAATGATGCTCGCGGTGACTGTAAAAAAACGTGGAAAATAATCAATGATATAAATGGATACAAAAACAGTTCAAACATTTCAAATACTGATATAAATAAAAATGGAAGTTTAGTTAAAAATAATAAAGAAAAGGCAACCTTATTTAATAATTTCTTTATAAACTTGGGTAAAAATATGGCAAATAAAATCAAAAAAATTAAATTACCAAACAATTTCTTAGCTGATAATGCCATAAAAAATTCTCTTTTTTTAGAACCAGTAACGGTTCCAGAAATAATAATATTAATTTCTAACTTAAAAAATAACTGTTCTGCAGGACCTGATAAAATAGAAACTAAACTCATTAAATATATTCATAAAGATGTAGTGACTCCCTTATCGCATATTATAAACCTTTCTTTGTCTAGTGGAATAATACCTTGTCAATGGAAACATACTATAGTTACTCCTATTTTTAAATCTGGGGATCATAACAAAATGAATAACTATAGACGAATATCTGTTATAAATAATTTTGCAAAAATATTTGAACAAGCTGTCAAAAACAGATTAATAAAATTCCTAGACAAAAATAAAGTTCTATCGAAAATACAATTTGGATTCATAAAAAAATCCAGTACTGAAGATGCGACATTAAATCTACTTGAACCGATAATCCGCGCCTTGGATAGATCAAGTAAATACCTAGCGGTTTTCCTTGATCTGGCAAAAGCCTTCAATACGGTTCCTCACTCTGATCTCTTAATCAGAATGAGTAACTATGGCATTAGATGTACAGGACTTGATTTACTTAGAAATTATTTAACAGATAGAACCCAAAAAGTGAAAATAGGGGATACATTAAGTGCCGCTTCAATAGTACAAATAGGAATACCGCAGGGGACAGTATTGGGTCCAATTCTATTTTTAATTTACATAAATAGCATCTCCAACATAAATCATTTTAAAGGAAAACTTGTATGTTATGCTGATGACACTGCCCTTGTAGTGACTGGGACATCTTGGGATGAAGTAAAATTTAAATACAGAAGCTTGCTTAAAAAAAATAAAAATTTATCTAGATTATAGTTTATTGACTGTAAACATTGAAAAAACAAAATATATTACTTTTTCTCCTACTACAGCTGATCAACCTAAAATAGACGTTAAACTACATGACTCTAAATGCAATCATACTAGATGTAACTGTCCCATCTTGGAAAAAACAGTAGCAATAAAATATTTAGGTGTAATGATTGACCAGCACATAAGATGGAACAAACACGTTACTTACGTTACAAAACGCTTAAGAGTCTTGTTTACCAAATTTTATAACATTAGAGATATTCTTTCAAAAAACAATTTATTTATGATTTATAATTCGTTTTCCGAATCAATTTTAAGGTATTGTACAACGATATGGGGTGGTACTTTTAAAAGTACGTTACAAAATCTGCAAACTACATTAAATACATTAATTAAAATATTATTTAAAAAGGATAGACTATATTCAACTCAACTACTATATCAATAATTAAACATTTTTACTTTAAGACAATTATATACATATCAGTGTCTTCAAAGGGTATACAGAGATCAGGATAAACTACACAAGGTTTCATCAAAAACCAGAGCAACTACAAATTTAAATTTAAATGTAGACCTATTTCAAAAAACGGTAAGACAAAGATCTTTCTTTTATTTTGGCCCCAAATTGTTTAATCTTCTCCCTTTATCAACGAAACAAATAACTAAATTAACTAAATTTAAAACTGAAATCAAGGAATTGATCCAAACTTCCCCAGATATGTTTGAAATATTTTAAATAAAACTGCAAATAACGTACATTATTTCTGGTGTCTTTTCAAGTATTTTTTACAATTTTTTAGCGTTAACTTCTGTTTAACTATACTACAGGAGAAAGTTTTAAACCTATCTCACTTTTTGGACCTGTCTTGCTTTAGTTTCCTATTACTCCTATTACTGAGTCGTTTTTCTTTTTAATTTTTTTTTTGTACTTTTAAAACAATTTATTATTGTATTTTTTTATGGAAGGGATCACACAAGACAGACATATATGCCTAGGTACGATCCCCTCCATGGACTAAAAAAAAAAACTTGTAATCTAGTACGTAATATATTTGAAGTCATGTCAGGTGTCTTATCACATATAAAACATGGTGGGCTGTATTGTAAGTTGTATCAAATGTTATGTTACAATCCAAATAAATCTTTAAACATCAAAGTGTTTTAATAATTAATTATATCTAAAATAGATCATATTAAACACTAGTTAAGAAGTTTCATGAAAGTTTTTGGCGTCTCTCTAAGATTACGAGTTATTAGTATTTGGACTTACTTGGTACATCCCTGATATCCCTGATCTCATCGTCGTAGCTGAACTTCATCGGCGACCTAGGCGATCTAGGCGACTTACTTGGGCGGTAATCGCTCTCTCCAAAATCGAAAATCTTTTCAGTTCGACTCGGACTTCTGAGCGACACTTTGGGCGAACTCAAACCCATACTTCGCACTTTAGGACTCCTTTGGTAGCTGGTCGGAGATTTTTGTTCCGTTATAGGTGATTTTGGTAGCTCAGTGTGTGCTGGATCTGAAATAAATATAACGAATATGTAATAATCTATACTAACACATTATGACAATAGAAAGCTCAATATCGTCATCTGATTCTTTTCAATCTAACATATTTGTACTAAATATTTCTAAGGTTAAATTATTTCTCAACAAAGCAAATTTCATATAGTAATCCCACACCTGTCAGTAGACATTTTTAGCAAAATTTACGATATAATTTCTAATCCCCTAAGAATACAGTTATGAACGTTAAAGTTTTAAAAGAAGAGACAACATATTAGGCAAATTGTTATCAAAAGCTGAAATGGGCGACAGAAAACCATCAGATTTCTGATTTCTATCGCGAATTCTCAGGATATTCGTTTATTAATGAGAACTTATTATTGACTTCCTTGCTTTATTGACTTTCTTGCTTTCTTTCCAAACACAGAGACGAAATCTATAATGTCAATAAAGATAAAGAAAATTTTGTTAAAGTTATTTAGAAGAAACCACCGTTCAAGAAAATTATGTAGAATACATATAATATTTTATTTTATTTCGTAGTGACAACTTTCATAGGTACGCTCACACAGCGCGTAAGAATTTCATGATCTAAAAGTGGTAATAAGTTCCGTAGATTTAGTAAAGAAAATAAACCAGAGACGCCTATATGTTATTATCACAATAAGTTTTAGACGATCGCTCAGTGTATTTAAACCAAAGGTCGGGTTAATGAGCCCAAAAAACTGGAAGTTTATAGCCTTAAAGTTATCTTCCACAAATATGTTGGATTGAAGAAGTTTTGACAACAATAAATGGACTGCCTAGTGTCATACTTTGTTGGTTATAAAATTCCCACACCCACACCCACACCCACACCCACACCCACACCCACACCCACACCCACACCCACACCCACACCCACACCCACACCCACACCCACACCCACACCCACACCCACACCCACACCCACACCCACACCCACACCCACACCCACACCCACACCCACACCCACACCCACACCCACACCCACACCCACACCCACACCCACACCCACACCCACACCCTCACCCTCACCCTCGCCCTCACCCTCGCCCTCACCCTCGCCCTCACCCTCACCCTCACCCACACCCACGCTCACACACCACACCACACCCCACCACACCACACCACACCACACCACACGCACACGCACACGCACACACACACACACACACACACACACACACACACACACACACACACACAACGTAAAAATCCGTCGAAAACTGGAGGTCGAAAAAAAATCATGAGTCCTATACTTTCCTTATATCTGTATACAGATAGAAAAGTAAAAAGGTATTGTCAAATTTCGAATTGCTGGAGTTTTGAGGATTAAAGCAGCAAACGGGAGTATCAACAATAGGTAGGCTGGTGCTGGAATATTAATGGAAACACAATATAAAACATTTATTAACTAGCATGAATTTAGAAGTAGATTTTTAAAGATTTATTAATATACATATAATGGAGTATTATATATAGTTAGACCACTTTCAAAATAAACGGCTCATATATACTGGGTGGCCATTTGAAAACGAAACAGCCAATTTTGGGCACCCCAGGTCATTTATGAAAAAACGTTCGGACCCGTCAATTTTTGATATTAGGTGGAAACATTTTTTTGCCAGTTTCACCCTCTAAACGGAAACCCTCTAGCGGGGGGTGAAACTTACTTATTTTGAAGGTATTTTTACCTAGATTATAACCGCCGAGTTTTAAATCGCTACTGTCTTCCTAGCCATGATCTTTTAACGATTTTTATTTTCTTTAAATGCTTACCAGTTACTCGAGTAAATGTTGGAAATGCTGACCCTGGGCCTTCATGCAATAATAGAGGTTTTGTTCAAAACGCTCTCGGACATTTTAAAGCAACTGTGGGGCGATTTGATGACATTAATCATCTGTTGTTGCAGATTTTCCAGTGATGTTGGCTGGGTGGCACACATTTTAATTTTTAAATGGCCCCATAAAAAATTTAACGGGGTTAGATCCGGATACCGTGGGGGCTACTCAATACTTCCTCTTCTTCAGATCCATTGACCTGGAAACGTTTGATCCAAATACTGACGAACAGTGTAAAATGGGGTGGCGTACCGTCTTACTGGAATATTAAGTTGTTTGCTATGTACTGATCGTCATTCTCAATCAACTCTAGTAATGCTGGATAAATGGCGTTTTCTAATAATTCCAGATACAATTCTGCGGTTAAAGTTCCAGGTAAAAAAAGGGGCAAATTCTATGGCAAAAAAATGTGTCCCCCTAAAATCAAAAATTGAGGGGTCCTAGCGTTTTTTTTACTAAATGACCTGGTTTCTCGCGAGCATTACTAGAGAGCTGTTTCTGACTCTAAATGAACGTTCTTTTCTAACAGTGCTTGATCTGGAGCTACTTCCAAATGTTCTCGCTTCTCCCCTCAAGCATTTGCTCGATAGCATATGAACAGAGCTCTTGTCTTTATAACTGTAGACCGTTATTAATCGTTTTTTTTTGACGTCATAAGGTTCTATACACCAAGAATAATTAACCCTTAAGTACAAGTTCAACGCGTTGTCAATGACAAGTGACAGCGACATTTATATCACAAAAAATACAGCTCATTTTACTTATTGGCACTTTTTGTCCACGTTGTGCTATGGGTGTTCCGCACCCAGTTTAAAACTGCTCTGGGTACGGATTCGGCGCCTATGGACACGTCTTAATGTTATTATCACAATAAGTTTAAGATCATTGAGGGTATTTAAACCAAAGGTCGGGTTGATGTGCCTAAAAAAACTTAAGAGTTTATAGCCTTAAAGATATCTTCCACGAATATGTTGGATTGAAGAGGTTTTGATAACTATATTAATCTGTCTAGTGTCTTTGTTCGTTGTAGGATTCAAAGATCGAGTAATCGATGTCTGACGAGTTTGACGAAAATTTTCAAGCTGGTCATACTTAGTTTTCAAGTACCAGAAAGCATTAATGCAGAACATAGTAACAGCAGTCAGTCAGTCGCAATAGAAATGCAGTAACGAAAAGTAAAAGAAGAAGAATACAGAAATAGAGAAGGCACTTATGAATGAAACTAAAAAAGTTGTAACATTATCCTGTGAGCGCGTTGTAAAAGAACCACATCGATTGGAATGTACTTAAGATATTATTTTATCACGTTAAGTACGGGAGTGAAGAAATAAAAGATATATCGAAGGACGGGAAATGTTTTGACAATCATCTTACTCGGATAAAAAGCTTAATTTATAAATTTTATGTTTCAACAAAAAAATTTTTAAGTTTCTGTTAATTATTTTTTTTTTTTTTTCGTGGCTTAACGTTGATGCTTCGCCGTCTATATGACTAAATTTAGAAGGATGGACGGTGAGGCATTGATGTGATGCCACATTTTTGCGCGTTTAGACCTGTCGATTTACATGCATGCGGGACAATGCATTTGTACTGGAGCAGTAGTTGTTGCGTGTTTGAGCTAACGTAAACATAATGGGTGATTTTGAGAAAGAACAAAAGAGATTACGTGAACTGTGGGATAATTGCATGTCTGATGAAGACGGCAATGTTAGTGAATTTGGCGAAGTTTATCTGACAATATCATAATATTGGGTTATTTTTTATATTAAATTAAACGCATTTATTTAGATTAGTTTTTTGTAGCACGTTTCTTTTGTAACAAATCGTTTGGCTTTACATTTTGCTTAATAATAATATTTAAGCCGGATAATATAAACTCATATAACACAGAATATGGGTCTATTCTGTAACAATTCCTTTATATTTCGAAGGCCAGCTAAACTTTTCTATTACTATAGACGCCTAAGAGCGAGCTCCTGTGTATGTAGCATTATATCGAGACGTACTACGAAACCACGCCTTCCTTGCTACTTTTCTGACTGTGGCAACATATTGATGACCCGCTGACTCAAAGAAGACAAGCAGTGAGGCATCCGTTAAATACCGCACCGACTCAACGTGTTAAGTAACTTTTAGGAGCGAGAATGTTAGGGTTTTACAGTTCCGGTATGTTTACTTTTTACCCGTTTATAAATTCTATAACGACAACAAAATATTCCTATTCTGTATACACAATTGAATACTTATTTTGAAATAATATTTCGTTGTATTAAAAACAAAATATACAGGGTGTCTAGAAACCACGAAATCTAGAGCTAATTTTATGATTTAGCCTAAATTACCTTAATCCAAAAATGCTTCCTAAGGGAGCTAGAGCTCGTTAAAGATAGCGCTCTAAAATTGGTTTAATTGAAATACCTTCAAAACGGATTTTTATTAAATGATATAATTCTCTACATTTATTTATTTGAATATAACCAATCAAATTTTGTATATAAGATTTTTTTAATGTAGTGATAAGCGACTCGTTTGGGTGGGGTATTTGATATTTTTATTAAATTATTTTTTGTCTCTCGAAAAGTCGCCATTTTAAAATGAAATTTAAATTTTTTTGTAATTTTTATCTAAAATGGTGCTCCTATCTGAAGTCTCCATGACCAACCGTTTTCGAGAAAAACCGATTTAAACTTTTCATGTCTTTACATACGTTTTCATTGATTAACAAATAAATTTCAAAATTATGATAAGGTTGCCATAGAAAATAAACAAAATACCTAAGAACTGTATCAATACATAATAAACTGTTTTTACCCAAACCTTAGGTAGGTGCGCAAAAAATGTTTTCAATTAATTACTGTGCTTTTCTGAAGTACAAAATAAATTCATGTAAAAATTAAAGTTTCTGTTGATACAATTTGTTTAAAAAAAAAAGTAATAACGAAATGATAACAAAAAGTATTAAACACAAAATTAAATCTAAATCAGATGCTCCACATGACGGCCATCCGTTTCTATGCACAAATTTATTAATTTCCGTAAAGATCGCCGAATTCTTGCAAAAATTCCCATATTATTTCTAAATTCGTTGCAAGCATTCTGAATTCGTCTCCAAAGGTTATTCCTTGATTCAATTGGTTGTGAATAAACCATTGATTTGAGATATCCCCATACACAAAAGTCGCATGGATTTAAATCCGAAGACCTCGCTGGCCAAGCAACGGGACCGCCTCTTCCTATCCATCGGTCTCGGTAATTATTGTATAAAAACTCACGAACATTCCTCCTAAAGTGAGCTGGACAACCATCATGTAAATCCACAAGGTCTGTCGAATATTTAAGTTAATGCCATCCAATAAATCTGGTAAAGTATTTGCTAAAAAAGTCGAGATAATTCTCACCATTTAAACGATTGGGCAATTCTACAGGCTCAAGCAGATTGTCACCAAGGACACATATCCATACATTGATGCTAAATCTTTTTTGATGTTTATTTTATAACATGAGGATTATCACGAACATAAGAGTAGTAATGAGCATTATGCATATTAAAAATTCCATCTCTTGTGAAAATAGTTTCATCAGAAAACAAAATGCTTAAAAAGAACTGATGATTTTGATTTTCTTGCTTTCGTAACCAAATAGAAAAGGCCATACGGGCAGGAAAATCATGATTTAGAAATATTAGGATACATTGCAGCTAATTTTCTTATGCGAATTTCATGGTTTTCCTCGATTTCCATTAAAATATAATTCTCATATTTCTCGAATACGTTAGCATGTCTACCAGTTTCGTTGTTACTGGGAATTACAGATCCTGTTTCCCTAAGTCTTTGATGAAGAACTGTGAATGTTTTTGAAGCAGGATGTCTCCTATTTGGAAATTTCTCGTCATATCTACGTGACGCTGCCAATCCGTTACATTGCATTTTACCATACACTAAATGCATTTCAGCATATTCTTCATTACTAAACCAAACCATCTTTAACTTTCAATATTTTAGATAATTCTAAACAATAAGTAATACAAAACTTACGATATGAAACACCAGTTATTTGACATTTATGTAATTGTTGTTTCGTTTATTTTCCACAGCCATCTAATACTAATTAATTTAGAAATTTATTTGTTAGTCAATGGAAACATTAAAAGTTTAAATCGATTTTTCTCGAAAACAAATGGTAATGGAGACTTCAGACAAGAATATAATTTTTGTGTGATAACGAAACTTTTTAAATATGATTTCAAAATGTCGAATTTTTGAAAAAAAAATTAAATAAAAATATCCAATACCCTACCCAAACGAGCCGCTTATGACTACATTAAGAAAAATCTTATTTACGAAATTTTTTATTGGTTAGATTCAAATAAATAAATGTACAGAATAATATCGTTTAATAAAAATCGGTTTTGAAGGTATTTCAATTAAACCGAATTAGGAGCGCCATCTTCAAAGAGCTCTAGCTCCCTTAGGGAAGAATTTTTGGATTAAGGTAATTTAGGCTAAATCGTCATAAAATCAGCTCTAAATTTCGTGGTTTCATTCTTTAAAGAGCGTTTCTGAACACCCTGTATAATTTACTGTTAATATGAGCAACACTCTGTTCCATAATAGTTTGTTGGATAGTTTTCAAACTTACCTCGCCCGTGATAGCTGGCGGTGGGGCTCCGGGGCGTGCTGCAACTACTCGGCGACGAGTACGACGATTTGGGTAGGACGGTGCTTTTCTTTGCCGTACGAGTGGAGCTGCTGCGCGAAAAGTTTCCGACGCCATTGTTCACTTTCATAGTATCTAATTTTTTTAATGAAGTTCCGCCGTCGTTCGGTTTTTGTTTGATACGATATTATAAAGACCTAGTTGATATGCGTTTCCGTGATATGTTCCATTTTCCGTCGAAAAACGACGCTAACGTTGGAAGTTTGGAAGTCTGAAACAAAGGGAAATTAATATTAGTTGGGAAAATGTCGGTCTGTTAATTATGTTCGATATGTCGTCGATCATTTGGATTTCCTGATTATTTATATTATAGTCATTGTTTGCGAAAAGTACAGGATAAAGGGAGAAACAATAACTGCTCTTATTATAATTAATGTATAAGACAACAAAAAAGTCAGTCATCTCTTTTTATGCGTTTTATCTTGTATAGTCTAATCAACAAATTCAAAAGCGTGTTTTTGGGACATACTATTATGAAAATTATGTTCAATAGCTCATTCGATTCGGAATAATGTCTAGATCAGTGTGTGAAGAAAAATGTTGCAGTGCATAAAAAATTGCAGAAGTTATAAACAATTAAACACCTCAAAAACATGGTGTTTGGTTTTTCGCCTATAGTTTGTAAACTATAAATATTTTTGGATTTTTCAAAAAAGATCCTTAAAGAGGAGGAAATTTGCTATAAATAAGTTTCGACTCCCGGAACTGTACCTCCATTATTTATCATTTTAATTTAACGCTCAAAGTAGCTTTCAAAAATTTTTAAAAATTACGGTGTATTCTAAACACTTAGAAGAATTCATTCCCTTTGGAATTTTTCATAAAAATTTATTTTCCAACAAAGTAGGTTATTGTTAATTAACAAAATTTTTAGAATTTCTCTCATCATTACAAATTGATAAAAATATTAAATAATTACTGTAATTTTTTTTGCTTCGTGGATCTCTTTCTGTATACATATAAAACAAAATAGCTTCATAAAAGTTTAAAAAATGTTAATACTTTGTTTATAATAATTTTTTAAAGTTTACAAAAACACCAAAGTCACAGTGGTGCTATAAAAAAAATTTTTTTTACTGTTTTATTGTCGAGAAAATACATTTATTAATTAAAAAAAAAAATTTTTCCTCCATTTAAGGAGTATTTCAATTTTTTTCAAATTTTTTTTACAACTTTCTAGACAATTGCCAATTATGATTTTTAAAAAAAAAATTTTTCTTAATAATAACTTTTAATTGTTTATAATCGTTTTTTTAATATATCTATTGTTTAAATTATTAGTTAAGAAATGTGTTTTTTTTTAAATCATAATTGACAGTCCTCTACAAAGTGACAGCAAAAGAGGTGTGATAAGCAAGTTTTAACCTGTATCAAGCGCAGCTCCAGAGGGGATCATGGGGGCTATAACTGTTTTCTCTATAATTAAAAGATCTTGCATAAAAGTTTGTATGTATTTCGGACGCAAACAGCATTTATGGACTTTATATACATACTTATAGCCCTCGCCTAACGCCTCGGGCTCTTACTTACACGTTATAAAATTTCTTCAAAAATATACAAGAAACTAAGTATTTTTAGTTTTCCACAAACTTTTTTGATAGAAGTGTCGATTTTGGTCCTATAAATACAATTATTATTTCGTTTTTTTTTTAATTTAAACCCAATACATACACGTAGTCAACATATTCGCTATTTCAATTTGGCATTTCCAAGACAGCTTCTGCGGTCCCCGAAGACTGTACTAAGTTATTGAAGCTATATTGGCTCCATTTTATTTTCCCGTTTATCTTGTTTTTCAATTTCCCTAACGTGATTGATATTTTATTGGGAACCGAATGAAACAACGGGCTACCTGGAAAAGCTTTATTTTCCTCTACTTTTTCAATCGTTGTTTTTTTTTTTTTTGATAGATGGATTCACGCTGCTATCTTTTTTGTATGTGGATTATCGGGATTGCTTTTTGCTCAGTCATAAAGTGATTCGTGTACTAAATGGATATATGGGGTGTTTGAAAGTATAGAATAGAGAAAAACAACTAAATTTAAGCAGTAACTAAATGCAGTAATATTTGTATGTTAAATTATGAAGTTATGAAAAAATTAATTCTGATGCATGATTTTTTTAGAATGAATTTCTTCTTTTAATGCATATTTTCTTAGCGGTTAAGGGCCAACTGGACTCGTCTCCGGGTGGTGAACAGGAGAACGGCTAGGATTTCCTGGTTAGTGGTAGATATAAAATAAATTCATTTGCGAAGGTTATCACCGCGAATCAACTCTCTAAATCTAAGGTGCAAGGTAACGCGCTGAGTGATAAATTATCGCAGAAGTAAATACGGCATCTAACATTCTCTTGTGAGCATCATCGGGCGACACCCACAAGCACCCAGCCTTAGCTCTCCACAGGGGGCACTGCAGAGCTGGACCAACCCTTCCTCTACACTCTTGGGAACAGATATAAGTGATGACAACATGGAGAAAATCAAAAACAAAAGCACTCTAGAAAACGCCTCGGGCTTGTTAAACCTGACAGCGTTATCATTACACTCTGAAAATTCAAGGAAAGGAGAAATTACGACAGCTGATACCTCTGGTACCTCAGAGAGGAGAGAATATGTGAACACAGACGAGTCTTCTCTACCAAAGCTTGCAGCAAGTCAAAGAACTGCTCAAAAAAGACATTCGGGAGCAGTGAGGAAGAAGCTCCTAAAAGAGAAGAAAATATCTGAGTTAGGTTGGACGCTCTAAAATCCGTTTAGGAATAAATGAGCCATAAAATTCAAAAGGAAAGAGAAGCGAGTAGAAAAAGAAGACAAAAAAGGCCCCGATCTGAGTCGCAGACTCCCCCAAGCAATGGTGGAACAATAAGAGCCTGGATGCTCCAACAATGACTGGCACGTACAATGACACCTTGAGAGGAATCCGACTTCCTGTCATGGTCAGAAGATATCCGGACAATATACTAGACCAAGAACAGGCAGACTTGGTACAAGAGGCAGTGGTAAAACAGCTGTACAATGTCTCCTCAGGCAGTGAAAGCGTACCCCAACTACAAACAACATCGTGCTTGATTTTCATCAAAAAACTGTTAGAAGTTTTTAGAACCAGGGAACTTTTTTAGCTTCAAAATCAGGAGCCGAAAGATTGAAAAGGAGATACAACTTTTGGCATTTTTATTCAATGAGGCATCGTACAAGGCTCTGGAAAGGTCGCAATTCCGGGCCCAATTTAAGCTGTAAAGGTTGACCTTTAGAGTCTCAAGGCGACTTGAAGAAGATCAGGAAGCAACCAATCAAATTCTCGCTTTGTAAGACTGTACTTTTAACTGCGGCTATGAAGAGGTTTGAAGTAACACTGATGCAGGAACCGTGGATCAGATACGGTGAAATAAAAGGGTTAGGATGAGTAAATAAAGAGTTGATTTACAATGTAAACCTGCAAAAATACATCGAAATACTGCCTTTAACAATTTTTTGTTTTAGGGATTTAACAGCGATAAGACTCGGGGTTAATGAGGGTAGTAGAGTAGTTGAGGAGCTGATGGGATTCTGCAGGCGTTATGGAATGCAGACGATTATAAGCTGCGATTTAAATGCAAACCACAGGATCTGTGGAAGTAAATAATTTAGCCATAATGAATGTAGGCAATAAACCTATCTTTGTTGCAAAAAATAGCAGGGAGGTACTGGATGTAACAGCAGCCTCAACTTATTTGAGCAATTATGTTGCAGGATGGCATTTGTCTGATAAAGAAAGTTGTTCAGATCACAGATATAAATTTAAAAAAAAAATAATTTTACCGAAGAAACTTATCGGAACATCCAGAAAACAGACGGAACGTATAATATTGCCTCTCTAGATATTTTAGATATTCCAAATATAAGAATGGCGATAAGAACAATATTAGATCTTGAAAAAATCCAACAAAGCTAAAGAAACAGAAAGATGGGAGGAATATAGCACCATATAGACCAGTTACAACAGCCCTACAAAAAGTTAAAAAATATTCCTGTGGGAGTCACTATGAGGAGATGAAAAGTACTCAGGAATATGCCAGACTCCAGAAAATCTTCTCAAAAATCAAATACTATATAACAAATTCTTGTAAGAACGAATACACAAGAACAGGAAATAAAACGATAAGAAAACTCTTTAGGGTGCATGTCCCTGGGTCATAAACCATAGAACAGACATAAGCAATCTGGACTCCAATTGGACTGGAAGCTCGCAAACAAGCCAGTAGGGAAGATCTGCAGACTTTCAAAAGAGTGGTGGATTATGACGAACTGAAATGGTCAATTAATTCATTTAAACCATACAAATCACCAGAAATTAACGGAATTTATCTAATAATGCTACAAAGAGGATCTGATATTTAATACAGTCGACTTTGTAGCATACTCAGAAGTAGCCTGGCTTTTGAATGCATATCAAGAGTATGGCGAAATATTAGGGTCACCTGAGAAAATCGGACTGAGAACGGCAAAGTTCCTAGGACCAAAATGTCCAATATGTTTAAATTAAAGTGCGCCTTGAAAAAGAAATGGACTAAAACATGGTACTCAACGATAACCAATTTGGATTTACATCAAAGAAATCCACCATGCCCTTCAAAGAGTGCTCAGCATTCCAGAAGAAATACAGGAAAAGGCCCATAAGAACAAAGCTTACAGTGGATATAGAAAACGCCTTCAACACCAAATAAGGCCAACGTAAGTAAATACCTCCTTAGAATCATACAATCGTACCTAACAGAACACTTGGCATTGGAAGAGGGAAAAAATACATAGTCATGTGTGGAATCTCTTAGGGATCGGTTCTGGGGTCAAAGTTGTGGAATATATTCTATAACGAAGTGCTAAAATAACACGTCGGAAAGTGAGTTACGTTGGTGGGGTATGCTGATGACCTTGCGATAGTAGTAGTAGCAGCTAAAACCAAAATTATATTGGAAACTATGTCAACAATAGCAGATAAATTTGAAATAAGGAAACTGAACTCCTTAGAGGTAGAGATGTAGGCGTAAGAATCGACAAAAACACCAGAATGACGTGCCATGTTAGACAAGAAT